TATTGACTCTGATGTCATACATGTACAGCCTGGCTAAACTTCAAACTATAAATATCACTCGAGCTCTCCAGCTTTTAGCTGTTAGGCGTCCTCAACCCACCGCTTTCCGAACCTCGTTGGGTCTCCTGAGAGGTTTGGCTACCCCAGTCCGGCCTAAGTAGCTCCACAAGAAATAAAGCTTCTTCTACCCCTTGATCCAGCTTGCGTGTATTGTATTTTGGACATTTTCTGGCACCAGTATTTTGTATTTTATTATCATACATTTATTTCTGCCCATTTCCGACTGTGATGGTCGCTGGAGAGTCCAGTATTTGAACCTAAACCTTTAATTCCTTGCTTTTAATGCGTCAATATCAATTATGAGACTAGACAAATAGATTCATAGGGTGGGTAGGTCTTTTTAGGGCGGTGCACTGTTATTTTTTTTTTTTTTGTGAATTATCTTAGTGATTATTAATAATTCTATTAATCTACTAAGTCCAGCTTAGTTTCACACTAGCTAATAAGCAGACGTGACCCTACACTGATCCCACATAATGTTTACTTCTGGTGTTGCACTGGAAACAAACACCAATATCCTGGACTTTTTTCTGTTAGTATTAACCCCTAACAAAACTATAACACCGCATAACACAATATAACCCCGTAGGACCATGTGATGACCTTCAGAGCAACACAATACAGCCCTTATAACAACACAACAGAACCTTATCAACACCTCATAATCATAATAGTAGAATACCGTAATAACACTTTCTAACCATAGAAACAATACTAGAACACCGCAGCAACACTTTAAAACCCTAACATCAATACTAGAACACCACAACAACACTTTATAACTACGCAACACTACTAGAATACCACAACAACACTTTATAACTACAGCAACACTACTAGAATACCACAATAAGAACACGATAAGCATAGTAACACTTTATAACCTATGTACAATACTATAACACCCTAACACTAATAACACCAGATCAACCGAACAACACTGACACAATTTAACATTGCAGTATCCTAAAAAGGCTTCCCAACCCTTAAAACAACATTTACATGTATGACACACTTATGCGTCCTTATAACAACACGTTAAACGCTTAAAAGAACAACATAAGGATAAAAACACAATAAAACGCTAGTAGCACGTTAGCACCCTGAGGATAAATGCATAAAACCTTCAATCAACAGTATTGTTAAGCAGATCAAATGCAGATGTTTGACTTGTTGTTTTGGATCAGCCAGCTAGCTAGCTATCACCAGAAGCTATCCCCAGGAACTAGTACCTAGACTAGTACCAAGAGCTAGCACCAAGAGCTAACACCGGAAACTAGCACCAACGGCTAGCACCAGGGTTAGCACCAAGGGCTAGCACCAGGAACTATCACCAGAAGCTAGCACCAGGAACTAGTACCTAGACTAGCACCAAGAGCTAGCACCAAGAACTAACACCGGAAACTAGCACCAGCGGCTAGCACCAGGGTTAGCACCAAGGGCTAGCACCAAGAGCTAGCACCAGAAGCTAGCACCAGGAACTAGTACCTAGACTAGCACCAAGAGCTAGCACCAAGAGCTAACACCGGAAACTAGCACCAGCGGCTAGCACCAGGGTTAGCACCGAGGGCTAGCACCAGGAACTATCACCAGCGGCTATCACCAGAGTTAGCACATGAGCTAATACCAGGAACTAGCACCAGGAACTATCACCAGCGGCTATCACCAGAGTTAGCACATGAGCTAATACCAGGAACTAGCACCAGGAACTATCACCAGCGGCTATCACCAGAGTTAGCACAAGAGCTAATACCAGGAACTAGCACCAGGAACTAGCACCAGCGGCTAGCACCAGGAACTAGCACCAGCGGCTAGCGCTGTCAGAAGCACACTGCATAAGACAGAGCTGCAGTAGCCTACTGGCTACGTTTTTCACTGCTTTCATTTAGCTGCAAACAGGAACCGTCTAATGAGCCGGGCCACCCTCATTATTATGGGAGAGAACACACACATTTGTTATCCTAATCATGTAATAATGGTCACTGCCCCGTGGAGTCAGAAAACACACTTCTCCATTCATCACCACACTGTAGATATTCATCAGCATCTAACTGCCTCTATTAGGCAAAAAAACAAGTGTAATGGGGCATATTAGCACAACATATATCTTCTTTATTAAATGCAAGAAAGATACTTTTCCATTCAATTAGATGTTTGACAGCAGCCAAAGTTTCCATCAAAATACTTTATTTTATCTGTAGTTTTTCTGTTGGTTCAATATCAAATTTCCATAGCGTGTCCTCGGTGAACCTTTGGCATCACTAAATGTAGAATAATATAAGTAATTCGGCAAGGTTTGTCTGAGAAAAATGATATAGACAGCCCTGGATTCAGCGGGATCTCTGCTATCGTTTTCCGTTCACGACTGTTTTCCACCGCCGAGTGCACAATTTCTGGACTAATTTGCATAGGATATTTTATAACTCTTGTTAAAGTTGTGTTTTGAGAATTCCAATGGGAATTGCAGCCAAGACTAACGCTTCGAGGGGGTGACACGTTCATATATTTGTTCATGATGTTGGATTTTGCTCAGTTTGGAGTCCTTCGAGGCACCCTCGGGTGGAACGGGCCAATTTAACGGGCATCACATTAAGAGCCAACCAGAAAAAGAACATTGTTATGCTTAACACTTACACCTCCACCAAAGTCTACAAATAAGCTGAGAAAGTTTGTGTAAATGTAATGTCCCAGTAAACGTTCATCTTATCAATTATATAGAATTTGCAGATGAGTCAGCGAGAGATAAAAGACAGACGCACGGAATGAAGAAATCTGGAGTGGAGTCAGATTCCTGCAGGCTCGTCTTGATAAGAAAAAACCTCAGTTTGAATCCTCGGTCTACTTCAGCCCTCAAACCTTTTATCAGAGACGATTGAATGTTAAGAAATGACAGAAAAACAGATTAAAATACGTGAAGTGTAGGAAATCTACAGAATCAGCCTCCACGTGTTTAACATGAATGCTGAATATACCCAAAAGGGTAATTCTGATCTGATTTATTTTAAGTGATTTCCTCTTACTAAATAACAACAGCAACTCGACTGCACGCTTCATTTCATTTTGAGAGAAATGCATTTTCTTCCAATATGGTTTCAGATTCAAACCCAGTCTCCTGGACAGTTAGCGCCTCCCTACACGCACAAAGCCCCAAACGTGTGTTGTGGTTGGGGCTTGGACAGGCCAATGCAGAATAATGTAGGCTCCTTAGTGTTTGCCAAATATTTGTAAAATGTTGATTTCGCATGAAAAAAAATATGAGTTCTCTTTTGCGTTTCAGGAACTTGAGTTAAACAGTCATGCGATCTCTTGAGCGGTGACATATTTTCTGTGGCGCTAACTCAACATGTCAGAATACAGCGGCTTTTTGTAAACACCATGTGATGTTTGCATGCAGCGACTGTTGAGAGCCGAGCGTAAACAGAACATGAATGCCGTGTGGAACACAGGGACGGACTCCGAGGGGACGCTGAGACAAAGACATGAAAGGACGGAGATGAGACCCAGCTGCAAGGAGGCTGAAAACATCCAAAGGTTAATTTGCACGTTTTCTCCCGAGAAAAAACAACTAATAGTGTCTCCTGTTTGGTTAACGGTTAAATCTGATACGGGTGGTGCCCGGTGATGAGCCCTGTATATTCATTTAGGATTAACATCTTTGGTGCCATCCATTAGTTGAAGGTGGCCAAACACATCAGATCACTCAACTCTTTCATGCCATACATTTCTCATTATTAAGAGGTTTTATCAGGTTGGCATGACGATAGTCAGGCGGGAACCTCCACTTCACTAAACAGTGATTATTGTTTGGTTTTTATTCATCTTGTTGCATTGACAATAATCCTCACCGTTAAGTGAATATGTAAGTGCCTTAAACCTACATTCTTTCAAATGGCAACTTCTCTGGTTGCAAAAAAAAGAAGTTGGATTTCTTGGAAGGCCGTGAAAAAAAAGACTTTCACCAGCGTGTCCATGCACGTCCCGACCACAGTGTTACTCCTCCAGAGTCCAGATGTGGTCACTACCAAAAATCCAAGATGCAAATGTTCAATGGGTGACACCAGCTGCGTCTACTTCTTACATGCAGTCTATGGCAAGAATGAACATTACTAATAGAACCAAATACACTCCACAGGCCAAAGAAATGGTACCTCATAACAACCCACCGAGTCCATCACCAGAGACAGTACAGAAAGGAAAAGGCCAAAGCAACAATGTTAATCCCCTTTTTATCCAGCCATATATCTTCTGAACACTGATTTGTTTTGTATCTGGCAAATAACTTTTGCTAAACAACGTAACTTTGTTAGCTGTGTAAATATCTCCAATGAAGAAATGAAGATATTTTGCAGAAACTATTCACCTGTTATGCATAACACAACTTGAGACTGCATTCATCCTTCCGAACAAGGGAAAGGGGACAAGGCTAAAGCCTGATACGAAGCCTCTTGATGTTTCAAGTGGCCCTGATATCTGAAAACATTAAACTACAGCAGCACCATGAGCCCGTGGCTCTCTGGCTGAGCCCACTGACTTCCATCTGAACACACGAGCAGCCTTCATGTGAAACCAGCAGCAGCTGGGGAGCAGTCAGACAATAAATACAAACATATGATATTCATGAAAACCTCCTGAAGCAAACAGACGGCCCCAATTTGATATTCAATTACATCATTCTGATTCTGGAGGTGATCTGGCTGAGAAAGGGACCGATATATGTTTTTGGAAAGTGGGGACATTCAGTCCATTCCTTTTTGAGGGCTAAGAAGAGAGACCGTAGCATTAGCTTTAGCTCGTGGCGTCCCACGCTTTTATGACATCATCCATGCAATCGCAACATCTGCCAGCTGTTGACCTTCAGTGCATCTTTTCTCTTTGCCCTGATTTCCAGTCACCTCCCTACTGGCACATGCAAAATGAAAAGCAGAAGTGCGTCAGCTCACCTAGCACACTCAGCTCTGTGTGTGCAGTGATGTTGTGGTTCTTGTTGGCGGCTATGCAGCTGTAACTGCCAGAGTCATCATCAGTGACGCTCCTGATGATCAGATTACTGCCGACCAGAAGAGAGTACTTCTTATTCCTGAAACAAAACCAGGGAAGGGTGAGGTTCATTTCTCTTAACACATTCTTAACACAAATGTGATAATTAAACAATACATCTCGTTAATCCTGAAATTGTTCTCATCTTCAACAAATCCAGTGAAAAGGCCGAAACCATCACTGTCTTAGTCAGGCCCATTGGTTCCTGCTGAAGATTCCCAAAGCGTTCCGCTCCCCAGCTGGAAACAGTTCCTTCGTCGTGGACTATTTTTAGCTGCGTGTCAATCCACGTTTGGGGCCGCAGAGTGTTTTTCTGTCACGGTGTATGTGAGATTGAGTCAGAGACAAATTTCTGCAATGATTCCTGTCCATGGATCCACTGCTCCGCCACAACAAAGGTGTTTCCATGACCCTTTTAGTGCTACATCTACTGGATGGCGCAAATCAATGAGACTATTTCAATGGAAACACGGGTACTGGTGCTTATAGATGGAAATTGACACAGGAGCCTTTTGTCGGATACATTCATTGGTGTAGTCTTTCATGTACTGGTAATGTAATATGTAATGACTGGACTTATATGAACGCTCGGGATGCTCGTGGGGCTAAACTTGTTGATACTGCAGGTTATCACTTTGATTAAAGGTGGAATAGCTCAGGCCAACAGGCAATATGAACAGAAGGTGGGACGGACCAGCTGTGGATCAGTTCCTCTCCTCTCCTCCACTGGATGCTCGGAGTCGGGTATCCTGAAGCGGAACATTCCAGCACGGCGTCGGTTCCCAGCAAAGCCGTTCCACTGGATGGGCGCTGGAGGAATTGTAGGTTCCTGCTCACCCCGGGCTCTGAGAGAGAGAGAGAGAGAAACCAAAACAAGGTTTACAGTCGTGGTAATGAGCCGCTCTTTAACAAAAGAATTGCAGCGATTCGTTCCCAGACGCAGGAGCCTCCGTGAGGTTCACCGCTGGGTGAAAAGAGTCTGCTCGAAGGCCAGCGCTCAGGTCCTGCTCCATTCATGTTAGACGGGATCGACTCCACAGCTCGGGAAAGTCAGTCAAGTTGTTCCACACCAAACTGGGAAAAAAAGGTCTTTGTGCACGGAGGGACAACTCTTACAAAGGTTGAAGGACAACATTTGTCTAATTAAATCCAATCCACAAACACTCTGAGGGACGCACGTGTGACCCCTGATCTTTTACTTAATACTGTAACGCAATCCCACCGCTACTTCTACGCAGCATCTGCTTTATTCTTGGAGGACAGTGGATGTGACGCTGTCCTTGGTGCTGGATGGACAGACGCTTCTGAGGAGGGAGATTGGACGGCTGATAATACGCTACATGCACACAAGAAAGCTTACTGGGAGATTTCTGAACAGCTACGACTAATTTATTGCAGCTAATGGAGCCGGTCAACCGTTACTACGAAGAGATGTCAGCTGTGTGAAGTGACTGGTCTGCTTGTACAAGACAACAAACAAGCACTTGGATGGATACACATGTGATGGCTGTCATGGTACCTCATTTATTATAAGGTTTTTTTTTTACATTTAAGCATGAATTGTTACGTTGCTGGTTATAATTTCAGTCATTTAAATAACATCAGTGTAGATAACATCAATGTAGAGCTCAATCTTATTGAAGTTATTTTGTCATACACAAACCCACTGGAGTCGGGGGATCATCCTGTGGGAACCTTTAATCACTGAACCAAATGTGATGTCAGTCCATCTAATAGGTGTGTTTCATGCTGCCAAAGCAGCGGGAAACACAAGTATCCAACATGAGTAACTATATTATATAGTTGGAACAAAGGCTGCAAAAGGCAAAGTTATTTCACCTGATTTCTTCAGCCTAGCCAAGTTAATACAGTATATTAATACGGTTCATTCATCTCTTTTCTTTATCTTTCTGAACAGGTACGAGAAGAAACATTTGTCTTTTATCAGGCAACTGCATAATAAGCATATATGTTCAGTAGTAAGGGTCCGGCACGCGTTAGCATAAGCTAACGTTAGCGCCAACAATCAGCGTCCTTTTATCTCCACTTTCATAACTAAAACAGTATTTGGCTGGAAAGGTAATGAGCTAACGCTTACTTTAACAGGCACTGGATTCAGGCCTTGTATAAATAAATTGTATAAATGTATAAATGTAAGGTACAAAATACTGTATGTAAAACCCTTAGATTGTCTAAGGGTTTATTTAAATGATTATTTTCTACCAACTCCTTATTTATTTTCGTTTTTATTTGTTAATAGATTAATTGTGATGTTAATCTTATACTAAATGTGTTTGTAGTCAATTCCAACAATCAAAATGCCATGAATTTCACACTGCTATTTCCTTATGAAGGGAGTGTTTCCTGCAGCACTGGTGGTTAATCTGTGTGATTTAACATAATCCATCAGGTGTAAAGCTTCACGACCTCTGGATTCTGAAACAAAAGAGGCAAAAGAAGAACAGCAAACAAGACACTGAGCAGAAAAGTGAGCAGTGAACACGAGGAGACAAAAGTAGGAGAAAAGGCGCCGCGCAGCAGATGGTTTGATCGTCCTCTTTGTTATCAGGGAGTAAAGAGCGAGGAGATAATCACCGGACAACAGACGGACTCCTCTGATGTTTTCACGCCACCAAAGGAGGCGTCATGAGGACACACACTCTGTTACCAACACACTCACTGCACATGCAGATTCATATTCATATTCAGCATCGTGTCCTTCTTCACTGTTGGAATAATGGTGAATTCTCCATTATTCCAAACCCAATTCCTTGCTTTTTAAATGCAGACAGGAATGTTGTGTTACTCTTTTATTGCATCGTACCTGTTGTTTGTGTCTTTGTTTTAGGGTTTCACTTTACCAGCAATGTGAAGATTGTGAAGATTTCTTGGTGAGCTTTGCATGGTTTGGCTTTAAATCGGAGGCTGGTGACATGACCGAAGGTCCGCAAATGACTCCGTGTGAAGCCTCGTCGGTGTCACACTCACGCTGACCCTCAGCGGACGCTTTTGCTCTTTATAATACTTCATAACGCATGAGATCATAAGGCGATTAAGTAGAGGAATAATGTTGTATCGACATTTGTATTTAATCTACACACGACTAACAAAATCTCTTTTCACGTAACACGTAACAAAGAATTAATCATATATGTGTGACTGCAAATATAAATAATGTTCTCTTAATTATCTAAATAAAAGAACGTTTCTGCATGTTCAAATAAAGAGCTTTTATTAATAATAAAATAAAACGGGAAGAAAAGCTTGAATTTCCCCTTTTCTGCTTCACATTTGGACTTGATAGTCTCAGCAAATTCATTTTAACACGTAGGCAGTTTAATAGAATATATATATATATATATATATATATATATATATATCCACACTCCCACTTGTTTGGTAAGTTGGAGAATTAAGATCCAGTTTTTCCTGCCAGGATGTTCGACCTGGTCTGAAGGCATCAGGTTCTCCTCCTCACTCATTGAGCCTCATGACGGCGTTTCAACGAGTACATGAGACGCTGGTTCAGTGCTGCAGTGGGAAGTAAGAACAGAAACCAGTCCGTCCATTGAGGGTTAAATGCTCTACTTTTGCTGTCCACTTGTGTCTTTTTGGAAAGCGTCATTTGTTCCTCATATTTGTCTCGCGTCTCTTTCTCCGTCTCACTCGTCTTTTCCTCAAACATCATCTTTCTTTTCCTTCCTACCGTCTTTGTATTTGTAATTTGCCGCCACCTCTCTGGTCTGTCGTATATGTAAACCGTCCTGCCCGGAACGCAACTACTCGATTGGTCGAGTAGTGTCACGCGGGACGGTTTAACTCGACTGGTCTGTGCTTTAAGCCACTACCGTGAAGACGGATGGGACGGCTTCTGGGTCCGGATCCACCAGTTAGTGACCTCTGCCTTAGAGGTTTCATGTCCATCCAAGACCTCGAGGAGGTCCAAATAATTCTAGTCAACAGATGCTAAACCAGATGAGGACACCAGAGCTTTAAGTCTCATCTCTTCGGCCTTTATCGAGAGGGACAAATGCGACGGAGCAGAAAGTAGGACAGGGAGGTATTTATCGCACAAAGGAATCAAATGTTTTCATCTGATTATCTCTCACTCCTCATGGCTCCATCTGATAAAAACTTAAGTCACAAGTAATAAAGCCTTTCATGGAGACACAGTCGTTAAAAGTGATCCATCTGCTGCATTAAAACTGCACACGAGAGGTAACCGAGCTAAAGCTGCAACCACAGGGAGCTTTTACAGTTCAGACATTTAAAGGTTTAAAAGATCCTCTGAAGCTCGCTGAAAGAAGCAAAACTACAACGTCGGGTTGAATCCTCTTGTTAAGTCCGGAACATGTTTAGCGCCACACTGCGGCGTTTGTTGTATTTTCTTGATCCTTTTTGATTATTTTATATACAATACATTCAATTTTAAAATCTGAATCATTTTAACAAATTCATTAATTAATTTGGTCATTTACTGCCACATGGTTTAGAAAACATTTTGTTCAACCCAATCATTTATTGTATTGTTTGTAAAATGTGAGAATAATGTATTCTACTGAATGTTTTTTATCTTGATTTACTCAGTTATCTATTCATTCGTTAGTGTAACTTCTTTGTTGTTTCTTATTGCAAATCTTTAACTCATCTCTTTTACTTTGACATTGCAAAATAAAATGTATTTTGCACACTTATGCAACAGCCGGTTGGGGTATGAACGTCTCTACTTGTCCCCTCTGAGTCGTCCCGTGTCTCAGGGCGGATAGGAGCCGCTTTTTTGAAAGATGGACCCGGAAATGCAAAGTTGTAAATGCTAAGTGCATGCGATTATCCTGCAGTCGGAATGCAAAGTACATGTGATTATCCTGCTGAAGGTGGGCACTCCGGCCCCCCGCTGGGACGGAGCGCAGGAACACTCCACGTGCTCCATTCAAAGGGCCGTTTAACCACTAAAGGAGACAAACTTGAAGTAGACGGTGTATGTTCTCGTTTAATCGTCCGGTGTGGAGTGTATGAAGCGTGTCCCTGGAGCGAGTACCTTGAATATATCAGTAAGTACAGTAAAATGAGTTGTCAGGGGTTTGCAGAACCACCCTGTTGGATCGGTTACCTGGCAGAACTCGGAGCTCGGCGTCCGTCCCCGTCCTGGTGCTGCCCGGGTTGTCGGCCAGGCAGCGGTACGTGGCTGAGTCTGGCGGCTGGACGCGGCTGACCTGCAGGGAGCCGGACGGCAGCACGGCCAGGCGGGACTCCTGCTCAAAGGTCAACGGCAGGTCCTCCCGGTTCTTCTGCCAGCGGATGACGGGCGTCGGGTCCCCGGAGACCTCGCAGCGCAGCAGGGCCGTATCGCCGAGGTATGAGGAAACGGACTCGGTGGGCACGACCACCTTGAGCGGACCTGGGGAGAGTCCGGGGAAAATGGACGATTGAGAGAATTAGAAACAGTCCAATGGAATAAACTACTAACTGTACTACGCTGCACTGAACTCATATTGAACCTGACTGTAATGTTGTGCACTGCACTGAAATGAACAAAGCAACTAAGGCCAGACAGGGGTCAGGGTCAAAGGTCACAATAACTACTGCTGTCATGGTTGGTTCTGTTGTTATGGATGCTGTTAGTAGGGGTTCGTCTTTGTGTCGTCCGTGTCACTAAGGACAGATCAGCTCAGGGGGGGATGAAGAGGTGAGCTGGCGTTAAAGGTTTTCCAGGGCGACATGTGGAAGAGAATTATACGGACAGGAATGAAACAGGAAAGGGAGGCGAGGCCCAACGGGTGTGGATGTGACAGAGAGAGTTAGACATTGAACAACAGGAGGACAGATGAAAGTCAGACAACAAAGCAGAGAGACGGGGACAGGGTGGACCGGCAGGGACCAGCCCGCTGTGCTTAGGACACACGCCGTTTCCTGTCGGATGACATTGACCTCAGCAACAAGCAGCCTGCAGCCACACGAGCGCACTCTGGTACCAGCAGGGGGGCCTCTGGGTAGATTGACTACACTCTCAGGAATCCAATGAAGAGAAGCTTATCTAAAGGGGTTAGTATTTAAGTGTTAAATACATTCTGCTGTACTCGCCTCCTGAGGCCCGTGAAAGCATTGAGACCAAAAGCCCAAACGTCCACGGATAACATCGTTTGAGAAAGGATTCGTCTGGGACGGATTTCTTTTCTGGGAGGTCTCCGCTCCATCAAAGGGAACATAATCAATACTTGGTAAATTGTATCCATGAAAAAACAAGAGTTTATCAGTCCCTCTGGCACTCATGTGCAGCAACGGCAACTACCCTCCAGAGGGTCACTCGTGGTGCCACATGGGATGGAATATTTCATGATTCCATTATTGCCTTAATCTCCAGGTCACAGTGGCCCATATGACACAGCAGTAACGCAACATGTTACTGTACTAAGGTGAATTTAACTAATACAATGTGACCGCAACTCAACTAGCTGAACTGTAGCGTTGTGCAACAACTGCTGCTTAACAGTACTTCCATCAACATCGGGACTGTTGCTACTGCAATAAGCGCTGTTCTTAGTACTACTCCAAGTACTGTTTTTAGAATCTACCAGCGACAAAGCAGGAAGTCAGTAGACTGCAGGAAGACCCGCCTCTCGCTTCTTTTGATTGGCGGCGTCAGTCAAGTTTCGCTGTGAATGTCGCTGAAAGGTTTAAAATACTTAAATATTCAAATATTTAATTTATATATTTGTATTAACTTTGCTGTGCTACTTTTTTTTTACTTGATAGGTCTATAAGAAAATAAACAGATGAATTTGTTCTTTCTGCCTGTCAACGGATTAAATGGTACAACATGTACATGTATGTGCTTTAGAAGTATCAGTAGGCACATTTCTTTACTGCAGTTATCTTTGTGTCTCCAAATCCTGAATATGTGTCATGAGGACACACACCAGCTTTCTGGTTTAAAGCAGCTCCCGTTTCTTCTGCTTCACCTCGACACACAAATCCGCAAACGCAATTCTGACACAAACACTGACTTTCTGTTCTGTTCTGTTCTAAAAGCCTTCAGCCCGACTGTCAGGTCGCTGCAATTAACCCCGCCGGACGCAGGTTTGTGCGTGCGCGACATCACACCGATATGAGGGGACGGGAACGCTGTTCTGAATTTAATTTCACTGTCTTATATAAGTTCTGCTGCTGTCTGTTCCTCTGTGGATCTCCCTGCCGCCTGCAGACACACACACACACACACTCACGCACACACGCACACACACACGCACACACACACACACTACACCTGTTGTTTTTGTGTCACTTGCAGGGGACTTGTATTACTGGAGGCCTCCTCCTATGCAAATATACCGGCCACATGTAATTCTAAAGACCTGAAACAACTGTGTTACGTTTCAATGTCTACCTGAAAAAACCTTTACCTTATTATAACGACTGTAGATTGTGGGCCCGTGCTGTATGTTACTGTGAGTCCTGCTACGATAAAACAAATACTTTTCTGTCAGACTTTTTTCTGTAAAGCATCAGACAACTAAGAATCCTGAAATGCTTTTACAGGATTCATCTGACTAAACGTGATGCTGCCCCGCGCATCCTCAAGGGACGTCACGCGATCTGAGCCTTCGCTGACGGGAGGAGAACCCGGGAGGACTTTATGTAGGTTGGAGAGTGTCTGTTTTATTAATGCTCAAAGTGTCAATGTGACGTTGTGTGATCTGACTTCATGTTCCATGAATATAGAAGAGTGTGAACAGCCACATGAATCCAGTTTGGAGCAGAGATCTTCAGTCAGAGTGGAAATTCTGATCACACAGAATGAAAAAAAAAACAGATGAAGAAGAGCAGCAAAGAGGAAGAGAAATGGGTCAAACCATGGGGATAGGAGGAGGAGGAGGAGGAGATGAATGAAGAAAGAAAAGAAGAGATGATGAGAATAACAAATAGAAGAAACATTTACCCTGAACTCAACAGTTCTTCACCTCTGAACAGACAAAATAAAACCTCTTTGATGTCTTCAAATCTGAAGAACTGGAACATATAATTAATGCAGATCACAGCAAACGGGCCGCGGCGCTGAGGAGGGCTTTAAAGATGCTCTGACTCTGAAGCGTCGCCTTGAGAACAAATGTTATGCTTCCACGGGTCGGACCCCGATCCCCCCGGCGCCGTTCATTTGGGATTTGTCTCGATACCGTAAGAGTCTAATGCTGATTGGACGGACATGCCGCAGAGCTTTAAACCAAGCTAAGTCTTTAAAGGAGCTACTTTTAGCTTCGGTTGGTTCACATTAAACAGAAATATTCATGTTTTTGGACATTGAGAGGTAAACTGGTAGTAGTACTATATACTATATAGTACTTGTAAGTATATACTTAATATATACTATAAGTATTTATTAATACATCGAACTTCGAAAACCTGTACTAGTACTGATCATTCATTAATACATGTAACTTCAAATAGCCTGTACTTTCACAGTTTGGGTTTATTTCCTGTTTTACTTTTGTAGACTTCCTGTCCTGTCGTCCCCTGTGATTGTCTGCTGTGTCTCTGATTGTTTCCACCTGTGTCCAACCACCTGCACCTCCCCAGTGTATGTTGTCAACTCTGCGTTTGAGTCCTGCCTCTGCCTACCCGTTCGTGACAGTACTAGTAGTACTGACCATTAATTAATACATCTAACTTAAATAACCTTTCCTCTGTCCTTGTCCTTCTGCACCTCTCTGCTGCATTTGACACAATCAACCACCAGATCCTTGTCTCCTCCCTTCAGGAACTTGGTGTCTCAGGCTCTGCTCTCTCCCTTCTCTCGTCCTACCTCGACGGCCGCACCTACCGGGTAACCTGGAGAGGATCTGTGTCGGAACGTTGTCCTCTTACTACTGGAGTTCCTCAGGGTTCCGTCCTGGGTCCCCTCCTCTTCTCGCTCTACACCAACTCTCTCTGCGCTGTCATTCACTCACATGGCTTCTCCTACCACAGCTATGCCGATGACACACAACTAATTCTCTCCTTCCCTCACTCTGATCTCTGCCTGTCTGACTGACATCTCTCAGTGGATCCGCCCACCATCTGAAAATCAACCCCGACAAGACTGAACTACTTCTCTTTCTAGGAAAAGATTCTTCAACAGAGGACTTGACGGTTAACTTTGGCGACTCCGTGCTAACGTCCACTTTAACCGCTAGGAACCTCGGCGTGACACTCGAAAGGCGACTCTCCCTGACTCCCAACATCACTGCGACAACACGATCCTGTAGATGCACGCTCTACAACATCAGGAGAACACGTCCTCTTCTCACTCAGAAGGAGGTACTGATTCAGGCTCTTGTCATCTCCCTCCTGGACTACTGCAACTCTCTCCTGCAGGTCTCCTGCTACCACCATTCCACCTCTGCAGCTCATCCAGAATGCAGCAGCTCCACTGGTCTTTAACCTTCCTAAGTTCTCCCTCACTCCTCCACTCCTCCTCTCTCTTCACTGGTACCGGTGGCTCATCCAGTTCAGAACACTGGTGCTCACGTACCGTGCTGTGAATGGATCCAGCTTACATCCAGGACCTGGTCCAACCCGACATCCCGACCCGCACTCTCCGCTCTGCATGTGATAAACTGCTTGTTCCTCCTCACTGAGAGCAAAACACTCGACTAGATCTCCACTCTTTGCTGTCCTGCTCCTAAATGGTGGAAGGAGGTCTCTGAAGACATCAGGACCACAGAGAGCCTTCACATCTTCAGACTAAAGACACACCTCTTCAGACTCTACCTCCACTAACACACTAACTAACTGTAGCACTTACATTATTATTTAAGCACTTCTAATCTTATCTATGACAAGTTGTAAATCAGTCCTTTTGTTTCTTGTTCCTCTAAGTTTGTATCCTAAATGCACTTATTGTAAGTCGCTTTGGATTAAAGCCTCAGCTGAATGATGTGTACTGTAATAACCTGCACTAGTACTGACCATTCATTATAATGTCTAACTTTGAAAACCCGTAATAGCAATAACCATTCAATAATCTTGTGGGGCAGCATATTGTTCAAATTGTCATTGATAAAACACTTGTTTTACTGTCATAGTATGAATGAATGAAGGGAATGTGACAGTGCTGAATTAAAGGTCTATCTTTTCAGCTGCATGCTCACTTCCTCCCTTATCCTTTTTATTATCGCTTTGAGCTCAGTGTTCAGTCTGCGTCTTATTTCCATGCCTCTCTTTTCTTTATCTGCAGGCTTTTTATTCCTCTTCGTTCTCTCTCTCTCTGCTCATCCTTCAGTAGTCTCTCACTCACTCGCTCTGCTTCTCTTTCCTTATTCTTCCTGTATCTTCTCTTGTCAGTCTGACGTTCTCTCTCTCTCTCTCTCTTCCCTCCCTCCCTCCCTCCCTCCCTCTCTCTCTCTCCTCCCTCCCTCCCTCCCTCCCTCTCTCTCTCTCTCTCCTCCCTCCCTCCCTCCCTCTCTCTCTCTCTAGCCATCAATCAGAGTGTTTCTAATTGATTCCCAGTGTACAGTTATATCTGAACACACACAGGCTGCTAATTACATTTTTAAGCTTCTGCTGTTAATTGCCGTTTTGCTTTGCAATGTGTGCGTGGTGTTTGTGTGTGTGTCCGTGTGTGTGTGCGTGTGAATGCTTAGCGGGGCGTGATAGAGACTAGCAGAAAATATGCTAACAGCGCTACCAACGACAACAATTCTGATAGAGCTAACGGCTGCCCCTGGGGGGGGAACCGGTGGGCAGACGTTGCGGTGTACCGTTGTGCGTTACGGGTGCTGTGCAGTGAGGTGGAGCACACACAGACATTCACGGGATGGGTGGTGAGTGAAGTGCTGTAGGATGTAGCTCGGCCGTGGAGTAACTACCCAAACCATCGCCCTCTTAGGGTTAGGTCATGGTGGAATGTGTGAACGACACACACACACACACACACACACACACACACACACATTCTCTTGCAACTCTGTGAGCTTTAAGAAGGTAGGGAGGTTAGGAAGGAAGTCCGGAGTCCAGCTCCAAAGAGCTGAGTGAGCTAAAGAGACGACCAGGCAACACACACACTGTGACAAAGATTGTATAAGTGTGTGTGTGTGTGTGTGTGTGTGTGTGTGTGTGTGTGTGTGTGTGTGTGTGTAGGTATATGTGCATGTGCTTATGTGTGTTATTCAGTCTGAGAAGAAATCAGCACGTCGGTTCTATGATCCAACCAAACACAACTGAGTGATTGTGAAAGACAAACTCTGACCTCACGTTTGTTCTGCAGCTTTTCTCCATCAACAAGTCAGAATAATCGATCACAACGTTTGTCATTTAAAACATCTGAACATTAAACATTTTTACTTGTGTGTCTATGTACTAGAGAGGACTACTTTTTGACAACAGTAATTCGGTAGTGGTATTGTTCATTATTAGTCTATTATTAGGTGCTACTTTTACATGCGTCTCAGGTTTGTTTTCACTCCTTACACATTTTCCTCACACAAATTAAATATCAATCTGAAAATCCCTTAAACTCAAGCTTTTATGTTGTTCCCCAGTGTAGACGGCGCACACAGTTGGTGATGCACTTAAGCCTCTTTGCCTCTCTCTGTATTAATGTCTTCCATAAACACTATTGATCCCACACTCCACTTACTAAATTACATTACAGGCAAATGACTTTACTTATATTAAGTTAATATAGATAGTAAAATGACTGGTGGGAGCTGAGTAATATTAAATGTGTGTCTCTGTGTGCGTGTGTGTGGTGCCATGGTAAGGGCTAAGGACAGGTCAAGGTGTTATGGAAACATTCATTCAAAGATGGTAATCTCCTGTCCTTCTCCCCGCCTGTCCTCTTCTTATGAGACCATTTTAGGAAAAAACACATACTATGAAAACCAACGGCCGAAGTGGTCGTGAAACTCCGATGTCACCAAATGGTTTTAATCGGTTTTGAAGCTTTGAGGTCAGCATTTTGGCTTTCACCATCTAGATTTGGACCTTGACCATAAACTTTTTTTTTCATAGACTTCCATACATTTAGACTCAAACAAATGCTGGTTTAAGGAACCTATGCAATCACTTTACAGAACCGGGAGTTGCCAAATGGTGTCCAGTGATTGGACCTTGGGTCAAGATTGAAGGCAACTGTGGTAGCAAACTGTCCAGATAAGCAGAGGTCTTTAAGTTGAGCCGTGTGGGACACCACAGTTTATTACTATTTAAAGAGTAGCTAAGTTCTGAAAGTCATCGTTGAATCAGTCAATAGATTTGTATGTACTGTGAACCATTTTTGGTGTGTTACACGGCTGCAACTTACCGGCCACAGTGACCCTGGCGGTCCGGCTAACGATGCTGCCCAGCCCGTCTAGTGTGGCGAGACACTGGTATTCGCCTTCATCGGGTCGGTGGTGCCGCGAGTGCACAACATTCTCCACACGCAGCGATCCGTTAGCCATCTGCTGCCGGCGCTCGTCCACCACCGTGCTCAGCAGCACGCCGTCCTTGCGCCATGTGATGGCGGGAGGTCCCGCCGTCGAGTCGGACTGTGCCTGGCAGTCGAGCTGCAGCACGCCGCCTCTCACCGTCACCGTGTCCTGAGGCTCCAGGCTGAAGGTGAAGTCCACGAAGCCTCCGAGACTAGGCGAGGAGGAGGAAGGGGAGGAAGATGAGAAGACGTCTGAGGCTAAGAAAGGAGACGAGAGGAAGAGGGGTTAGATGGAGGCACAGAAAAATCTAAAACAAGAGTTATTGCTGCAGATACGCTACATTACACTATTATGACAAAATAGCTGCAAACAAGCACTGGTTCATAACAGAGATGTGCCATAAACAACAATAAATTAAAATAAATGAATCTGTAAGTCCGAGGCGAAGACATTTCTTTTCCCGAGTGGAATAAAAACCGATCGATACATCTGGGCAAAGCAAACCCCACTTCCTGCCTCAGGCTTTATATGAAAATAAAACGGCTATAGTTAATACTTAATCAAACAATTGATGAAATGACCACGTGTAATAGAAAAAGTAGTCCACCTCTACAGCACCGAACAACAAGCACACACTGTTAGCTACCAACTATCGCAACTAGCAACAAGTGGCGTTCAACTATCAGATGCTGAATGAAATATACACTTTAAATACCTATTTGTTTGCATGGACGGGAATATTACAAAACTCTCAATCAAGCAGTTTTCCATGGGATCGGACCCACATCTGGGGCCAGGTGTGGAATCATATCCATAACCCATAATGGCTTTCTCTGCACAATAATCAGCGCGTCAGCGTTTTAGCAGCAGCACATGTTGTGTTTATATTCTTCTGCTTATTCATTTATTCATGTTTGGGGCTGATTTATTTATTCATATCTGTAATTAGTTTTGTCGGATGTCTCTTCACAGCAAAAAGCATGTTTGAGTTTAACTTCCGACCTGTAGGGCTTTGCAGTGTGAGATAACCAGTCTCTTCCGACGCTATCAAACTGCTGCATTCTTTACTCTTTATATTCCATATTTGGTGCAGTCTTGTGACAGAGGCAGCCGCCGGCAGCCTCTTCTCTCGTCTTTGATGCTGAGAAAGTCTTTCATCCTGATCAGAGAAGCAGTTTGTTTTGGTCAAAGCCACAGTTTTGCATCCGCATGTTTCCTGGAAGGTCTGAACCGATGCTGAGAACTAATTGGAGTCGCAACACAAAGTTGACTTTGGCGAAATGGGCAAAATAGGCTCTTTTTAGTTTAGGATTCTATTAAGTTGCTGTTAAACCTTTACCATTTAAGTGTGTCCTGGAGAAAAACAGAAGGATTAAGAATACAACTCTGGATTTTGGGGTAACTGGGGCCTGAACAAAACAAATTCCGTTCAACGTAAAAGCGGTTCATCCTCCGTTGTTGCTCTAATAAGGATAAAACACATTGAGTGAATAAGAGCCAGTATCGATAAGCACAGCAGGACTTTAGATAAACAGTATCTTAGATGGATAATTAAAGGGATCATTTATTACCCGATTATTGCTTGTCTAGAACAAGGTTTAGATTTTACAGCTGAGGACACGTCCCGAGTGTCCTCAGCTCCCTCCCTTTCCTTCCTTTCTTACAGACTGCCTTTTACATACCTTCCAATGTTCCCTTCCTAACCTCCTTACCTTGTTCACCTCTTCCCTTCCTCCCTTTCCTTGGCACCATCCCCACTCCCTTTGCCCACCTTCCTTCCGTCTCTCTCGCTTTCTTTTTCCTCGACGGTTTCCTCCCTATTGATTCCCCTTCAGCAGTCCTCCCCCTCTCTCTCAATCAGTAAATCACCATCTTGACAGCTCTATCTGTACTCACCCCCACTAGTCCCACACACACACACACACACACACACACAGTCAGTTCATCAATGTGTCCTTGTCCTCGTCCTGCAGTTTGATGCCATCACTCTCTGTCTGCTCTGCCTCCGTCTTCACTCGCTCCTCACTGCGTCTTGGTCCTTGTGTCTTCATATCTTATATGTAAAATTTAACTGGCTTAAACAGAATTGACTCTTAATGGACCATCGTTGACTGAATGAACATTGTGGTTTTTTGGCGAAAAGTTAAAACTAAGGGTTGAGAGCATAAACTTGTGTTTATAATGTTTACTGAGGGAACAAATCAAGTGGAAGTGGGGTCAATTTGTCATAGACTTCTACAGAACGTTCGCTGGCCAGGGGAGAGAATGCGTCCGAGACACTTCTGCATTGGTTTCACCTCGTAGGAAGTTGCCGCCAGGGTCAAATCCCTTAACGTTGACTTGATTTCATACTTGACACAAACAGTGGTCTCTTTGGTGAAATTTATAATACGTCAGTGGTTCTGAGCGTCTAATAATAATCCAGATGGGTTTACTTTACATTACATGTCATTTAGCTGACGCTTTTATCCCAAAAAAACATTTTAGCCCGGGGAGCAATTAGGGGTTAGGCATCTTGCCCCGGGACACTTCGTCTTGGGACGTGGGGCAGCCGGGACTTCTTGCGGGTCCCGGCGCACCCTCTCTATCCCTGCGCCACGACGACCCTTTAGAGTTAACTGAGTGAGTGACAAAGTGCTGTAGGTAGAGTCGCAGACGGATATAGAGCCATCCAGGACTTTAACTGATGAGATGAGTCAGTGACAGCGAGATGGACAACAGCCAAGACCATCTGCACAGTGGCTGACACCCCGGGCGTGTGTCTGAAAAGCAGACTGCGTTAAGAGTCTGGGCAGCGTCCAATATTCTGTGTGTGTTTAAAGTCGGCGGGCTGCTGCCTGCCAGAATCATCTCGACTAGGAGAAGGAAGCAGGAAAGAAAGGAAACGAATGAGTAGAAGGAGGGGGAGGAGGAGTGACGTCTTCCAGAAAATTAAAAATCACAAATCCGTCACAGAGGCACGATATGAGCCGGTAAATGGGTTCTACTTGTATTGTTTTTTCAAACCCCAATTCATACACTGATCCAATGGCCACCATGTAAAATGCCACCTGGCCATTTAAAGCTAAACATACACACACCAGTTCAGTTTAAACATTGACAGGATTAAGGAGGGGATCCAACCGCCAACCACTGAGCCACAGTCGCCCCATGAAAACTACCGGAAATGAATCCATGACATGAAGTAAGTATTGAGGGAATATTCAGCAGCACTAACCGACCGGGCTGGAATCATCAAATATTCATTTATACACACACAGTTGGTCCCATCTGCAGTGATCTCTGACACCAGCTGGACAACACCATTCTGTGTGTGTGTGTGTTTTGTGTCCTTAGCATTAAGCCTTCATTAACAAGTTTCACCTGTCGTCCACCCTTTGTGTCTCATTGAACTAGAACTGCGATAATCCCTTTGACTATCTCACAGCTGAGCTCACAGACATGCACACATAAACCAATCAGCAGCAACCGATGTGTCCGTCCATCCGCCAGACAGACCCGGAAGCTGTGGCAGTGATTGCCACCAGCGGAACGAGCTGTTAACATTTGTCACGTCGATCAAACACAATGTCGTTATTTTTCCGTCTCAATTATAGAAAAAAAGTATATGCCCATCAAGCCCCACGCCCAATATTGGCCAGGTGCTATTACAATATATAGCATCGAGCAATATAAAAGAGTTTTCCTTTGTCACATCATTTTGTTGTGTTTTCATCATTTTAATGTTTTTTTAGGGCTGTCAATAGATTAAAAAAAATGAAGTAATTAATCGCACATTTTGAAATTCAATAATCTCGATTAATGGTGATTAATGAATGTTGTTGTCGTTACGATGTTGTTATAATGTTTATCTTCTTCTAAAGACTAAATCTTAAAAGTAAAGAGTAATCACTTAGAAAGTGTGTATTTTAGACACTGTTGTTTAATTTTAATTTTAAACACAAAACTACACACCTTCGATCTTCTTGGAGGCAGAATTGGAAACATGTTGAACTAGCGACTCTTCCTGTTGTCCTCGTGCACTTTGCTCTCAACTCTCCATCATTTAACGGCTGTTTGAGGTCCAACAATCTCCCCACATTTAGCAGGACGTTTTAAACCACGTCTTTTAGGGACACAGTGGTGGTCCTCTGCAGCCTGTGTGCCGCGCAGGGTAACCTTTGATGTGGAGGTGGAAGTAGCATAGCAGCTAGCTTAGCCTAGCAGCTAGCTTAACATAGTAGTGCTTTAAGTGGTCCGTTTGCTACTCACCGCCCTTCTGTTTGACAGGTGGAGTAATTGCGTATTGTATATTGCCTCTGTTCGTGTTACTTCCAATGCGAAAAGCTCTTTCCATCTTGATGTAACTGACTGCAGCTTGTGGCCGTTTTATTTCCGCGGTCAACTTCCGGTATACCTCCGGGACCAGAAGGAAACAAACAAACGTTAACTACATTAAAATATTTTCTTGCATTAATCTAGGCCACATTAATCGCATAGATTAATGCATTAATGTTGACACCCCTCATTTTTTTACATTCCGTTTTGATCGCGGTGTGATAAGAAAAAAGGTTGCGGTTCATCAGAGCTACGGTCTGAAGCTGGAATGAACAGTTTGCCCTTTTCACCCCAATCGGACTAAAGCTACACAAAACTGTGTTACCAATATACAAGAAGTGATCCGAGTCATGGTGACGTCGCCCATTGGGTCGCTGACAGCCGTTTTGAAGTCTCCAGTAAGGCTTTGGATTACAGCCGTCCCCATGTTGTTGGTATTTGCAACTGATGAACAGAAGTGACCCTTTTAGCGGCAGCAATCTGTCAATTACAGTAAGCCCGCCCTAAAACACACCCTCCTCTATAGTCTATCTGACTCTAAATGGACCATACATCACTAAATAAACATTATTGTGTATTGAAGAATATTTGAAACCACAGATTGGGCTCTAAATTCATGTTTACTATGTTTACTGAGGGAGTAGATCAAGGGAAAAGTAGAATAATGTTCTCACTGTTTTTGCAACCAGAGGAGTGGCCCCCCGATGGTCAGTTGGAGCGAATACAAGTTCAAGACCCTTCAGCATTCGCTTCACTCCTCAGAACTGGTTAGTTTGGCGGCGTGCCGCGAGTTTGACTTGTGTGCTTTAATTTCACTTTGCACTTGAGTTGATGATCACACTTTGGCAGCCAACTGTACTGTGGAAAGGAGCACAACAAACCCCTGATAGATCAGAAAAACACAAACACACTTCACACTCTGATATTAACACCAATCGGT